TTGGATGAAAACTACAGATTTATGTAAGTAAATGTCTTTTTCATGATTTTTATTTTTATTATACAATTTGTAAAGTATAATAAATGTGTAAAATAAATTTCCTATATTACTTTATCTTGAGTAATATCATTTGTATCTATTTTTTATTATATTACTATTTTATTTTATTTTCAAAAAAATAAAGATTTTTTTCTGTATAGAATTTCTATTATTTTCTATTTTCTATTATCCTTTCCTTCTTTTCTTTTATCCAGGTCAAAGTGTATTCTTTTTATATACTTTTCTAATTCTCTTTCTGTGAAATGAAATTTTATTTACCTTTATTAATTGAAATAATTAAACACTTGATAAATAAATAATTCACAAATAAATTTATTTTATACACATATTTGTTTTTCATTTTGTTCAAATATTTTATTTAAATATTTTTCCTCTCTATTTGTTCTTCTTTTTTTTTTTATTTCATGTTAATAAAAAGTATCCAATCCTTATTTCCAATAAAATGAAAAAATTGTATTTACAAACTTTCGAAATTTATTTAAAAAAAAAAAAAAATAAACATCATTACCCAAAACCAAATCAATTTCATCCGAACTAATTATTTGCTCTATTTATCCCTTATCCTCGAACAATCCAAAACTAATTACAACACATCAGATTCCACAGATTCCCAAATTAAAATACTTTCTCCCCACGCGTTCGACATCCAATTCGTGTAACTTTCAAAAAAAAAAAAAAAAAAAAAGAATCTCCACCCCTCTTTCTTCTTTTTTCCCTCGTTTTAAAATTAACCTCATCCCAGAGAAATTGAACAGAAATTCAGCAAACACGATGCCGCTTCGTGCCATCATCTCCCTTTCCATACTCGCGCGGAAGGATGATAAGTCCTCGCGCGGAGAGACTACCGTTCCCTCTCCCCTACCTCTGTGTGTGGATGTGCATGTATCAAGATCCCTTCACAGAGGTCCACGGTATAACAGAGCGTGTATCTGACAGTACCTAACGTGCTTTCGAAAGCGCTCATTAGTCACTGAAATGCGGTCGCGAAGTGACAACTCGTACGTGGAATATTATACGGTCGAAGAACTTCCGCTTGTACCGTATCGCGCGAGCGATGCACGTCCTCCCGCGCATGCGCGCTGCGCTCCTGTTTCTAACTTTCGCATTATACGCCCTTTGTCCGCGATTCGACAGTTTCGACAGTTTCGCAATGGAACGTGAGAATGCGGCGCCACGGTGGGAGGGGGAGGAAGAGGGGGAGGGAGAGGATTCCGCTTGCAAACGACGTTAAAGTTCGATCGGTGCGGACCCGTCGCATCTGGGGCCACCAAAATTTTTCTCTCTCGCCCACACGCCCGGGCCGCAAACCTCGCACTCCGATGTGTACACAAGCAAAAGTTACACGTGCGCATCTTGTGCATACCGGTGGTCCGTGGTTCGATTCCCCGTGGTTTACCGGTTAAACGTTGTAATCAATTGTAAAGCGACGGAAAAATGCCCACGTTTTCGACCGGGGAAAAAATTTTTTAAGCTTTTCTTTTTTCTTTTTTCCTTTTCTGCCGGCGTGAATTTGTTTTTACGGGAAAAAATAGATAAATATTTTTTTTTTGGGAGGGGAGAGGGGAGTCTTCTGGGTTGGAAAAATAATATGGGCGAGAAATAAAGATTTAAATATTTGAAAAAAGAGTGAGAAAAATTGCTTTCGGATCAGGCGTAAAAAAAACATAGTTTATACATGTGAGATAAATCGAAATAAAGATACGTAAATATTTTGTGAGTCTTTTGATAAGAGAGAGAAATAATGTGAAGACGAAAAATAAAAAGATCGTTTAATTTCTAATAGCGAGAAAAAATTATTTCTAATTTTCCTGATTAAGTGTACAAAATATAATTTCTGTGAAATAAATTGGAAAAAAAATAGGGAGAATTTGGAAGAAATTAATGTTGATAAAAAATAAAAATTGTTTAAGAGAAAAATAAACGTATGAAAATATGTCAATATTAAGTTAAGAAGTTTCTCAGATACAGCGTTTAATTTACGTCCATTTCATGTTCAAATGTCTGCTTAATTTTAGTCGCAGTTGTCGTTGATTTACTCTACTGGCCGTAGATTTGACTCTCATAGAGTTATACGTTTAATCAGTCGCTTTTAAAGTATATATCTTCGATCAGCTTAAACTTAATCAAAGTACAGAATGATGAGTTAGATTTGAGTCAAATTAAGATTAGAATCTCTTGTTAGTTCTGCATTTAGTTTTGCATTATCTCATTCTGACTTTATTGATGTTCCTTTTGTCTACTTAAAAAATTAAAGAAAACATCGGTCTTCAATATCTTCTCAGATGAATTAATACATTTTCATGATAAATTTATCAATAATAATGATAATACAAAATTCATTAAAAAATATTAAAAAACTAATATCAAATTTTTATTATTTCATTATACGTATTATAATTTTATATATTAAAGTCAAAGCGGAATAAACAATTTTTTAGAACAAATTCAAAAATTAAATTATACTTTTTTTCTAATTTTCAATCTAAACACCCATCTAAAATTTCTAGAAATCAAATGACTAATCTACTCGATCAACTCAACTTTCACCTATCTTATTTCCGATTTCATCATTTAATTAACATCAAATTTTATTTTAATAATAATTATCATTAATTTTCTCAATAAATAATTAAGACACATTATTCAATTCTCATTATCCAACAAAACAAAGATTTCCATTTCCCCTCTGCAATTCTCTTATAAAGCAACGACAATGTTCCTCCAATTTTTCTTCTCCACATGATTATTCCGTCGTCTTATGATATATAATGATAAACTTCAACTCAAGAGAGAACTCTCCAGAGAAAGAAGCCATACCATGTTTATCGTTGCACAAAACCTACGTACCTCGTTGTCGACGACGTAACGAGCGAGAGATTAGAGATTCAAAGAGGAATCGTATAAACGAATCAGAAGAGTGACGCGTTAACTCATCTTTGGGAGATCCGGATCGCCTCTTCCTCGTCTGATAAAAGGGTGCAGGCGAATATTAGCGGAAAACTCGTGCGGAAATTCCGTGTCGTCAACCAGGTAAGAGACTCGAGAACAAGTTTAAGCGCAATGTTTGTCCGCCGATATAGAATAAGCTTCTGTGAGACGGGGAATGCTTTCGCGTCCCATCATACGGAAATACAAATTCCTTTGGTCGATATTTTGACTGAACGTGTGCCTTTGGGTGTTCTTGCAGAAAATTTTCTTCTCAGGATTTGACGGCGAAATCTCTCTAAGCAAGTAAATTGTATTTGCGTCGTAACTGCACAATCTCGTTGGAAATATTTTTTGTTGATTTTTTTTTCTTCACTGGTTGGGAACAATGGGGTTATATGTAATGATAAATGATAATATTCGTACATAATTATATGAATGTGATAAATTTTATATAGACTCTATGGAAATTCGATAACTCGATTATAAATACAATTGAATCCTGAATGATCGAGAAGAGAGAGAGAGAGAGAGAGAGAGAGAGAGAGAGAGAGAGAGAGAGAGAGA